ACCTCTGATTTTCCAAAGAAATGTTCTCTTAAAGTCTGAATCTTGACTCTGAATTCTTTCCTAACCAAAACTCAAGTACTGAGGTTGCTGAACCCAGGTCTGGTCTGACCCTACTGGTCTAACCCCTGGTGCTGTTCTAACTGCAGCTCCCAACCATCCTCAGCAATGGTCAGCCCCTCCTTCCTCCCACCCCATCTGCAAAGCCTGAGTACAGTAGCCTCCGCCTCAAGGAGGTCAAGACCACTAGGAGCCACTATCTCATCTCCCCATCCCTAGTGAACATGTTCTCTGGCCCCAGTAGATGCTTGCCATTCCCCAAATTCACTGTGTTTTCTTTCAACCTCTCAGCATTTATTTGCACATGCTGTAGTCAGCCTGGAGTGTTCTTCCTCCTCGGCAAACCACTTCTCATCTTCCAGGGTCTGGCCCAGCTTAAAAACACGATTGTCGAATTGAGATATACTGAATGAGGGAGAAAACAGGCTGGGGTGGGGGTGGGGCTGTAGGGGGAGCCCAGGGCAGGGGGGCTCTATGGGAGCCCTGAGTGCTCCAGGTCCCAGTGTGGCGGGGCTGGGTTTCTGGAGCAGGGAGACTTACAGGCAGGGAGAGCAGTCTCCAGGCATAGATCTTGGCTGTCATCTTTGGGAAATTCCTCCTCCCAGCAGAACTCTTGAGGGGTTCTGGGAGGACAATAACCTGCTTGAGGTCTAGCTGTTGCAGACCTCCCAGCTGTTGCTTCTAGAGGGAGATCCATGCAGGGTGGGGGAAGGGGCCAAGCATTTTCTGGTGGTTTCCAAGCCAGGTCAGAGACCCTGTGCTGGGACTTTCTGTTCCCAGTTCTGGCTCCAGCTACCCATCTAGACCCAAGATGACCCTAAAAATAGTGATGAGGGCTTTAGGGGGAGGGGGAGCCCTGAGCCTGAGACAGGCCAGTAAGCCAGGACAAGCAGAATAGGAAAACTGAGACGAATAGTTAGACGGTAGTTTGCAACCATCTAGTAAATCCTATCTTCCCTAAACCAGGGACACAAGAGCAAATGTTTGCATTTCTCCCAACCAGAGGGTAAATAGCTTAAATCACCCTACTCAGGGAGAGAAGTAGCAGAAATTCTATTAGTGCCATTTGCCAACCACATACAAGGACAGATGAAGTAAAGAGAATAAATTATTTCGGTACATCAACATAAAGCTGATGAATATTCCACTGAAATCCTCCCTTAGACCTCCCCTAAACACTCAGCCTTTAAAACCCCTCAAAACACGCCCTGGCCGGTTTGGCTCAGCAGTTAGAGCGTCCACCTGCGGTCCTGAGAGACCCGGGTTTGGTTCCCGCTAAGGGCACGTACCTCGGTTGCAGTTTGTCCCCGGCCCTGGTCGGTTGTGCGGGTGGCAGCCACTCGATGTGTTCCTTTCACATCGATGTTTCTCTCTCTCTCTCTCTGTTCCTCTCTCTCCCTCCCACTCTACCTGAACAAAAAATGGAAAATAAAAATAAAAATAAAAAAAATAAAAAAATAAAACCCCTCAAAACAAAGGTGCCAGTCTGCTCTCCCTCCCAGGAGCACACCCATGCCTCCCTGACCCCCATCTTCCCCCACAGGCATGCGTCTCCTAGACTCTAAGGGTCCCCACCAGGCTTGTAACCAGGGCAGCAATAGGCAGTGGCAGTTCATCCCACATAAACCCCTTGAACCTGTCCCCAAGGCCCCCTTTTCTCTGTCTTCTTAGTGAGCCAAAGAGACCAGCCTAGGCTCATTTCCCCAGCCCCTTTTCACTGTCCCCAGCTTTAATAAAAGTCCCCTAAAATACACCTGAACTCGTGTTATGAATGTTTCCTGCACGAAGCCAAGAACCCACACGCTACTGGCTGGCCCTAGGCAGACCCGCCCAGGACCAGGTCCCCTTTCCTGTAACAAGCCCAGTTTCCTTAGGCCAAAAACGTGGAGCCTGAGGCTCAGAGATAAGTGCTGCTGGCTCAGGCCATGCTGCCTCCTCCCACCACTCTCCCAGCTCATCTCTCTCCGTGCCTTACTGCCTTACTCCCTAAGAGCCTCGTGGTACCCTACCTCACTCCATATTACAGGTCTCCAGTCCTCAATTAGAGTAGGCTTTCAAAACTTGTTGGAGGGAGGGAAGGAAGGGCATGAGCGGAGGGGGAGCATGAAGAGGAAGAACAGTTTAGCACTGAGCCTCCCCCAGGACCACCTCTGCCCAGCCTGTGCTGGGTTACAGAGCCTTAGAAATGGGTCAAATCAGGCCCCATCCCCTGGGGAGCTCCCAGTCTGATGAGGTGGGTGTTGTTCTTTATCATTTCAAGTGTTAGTGCTTAGGGCTCTGGGCTGCAGCCGTGAAGAATGGCAGGGACCAGGTTTATTTCCTCTCCACCTCCGGGGTATGGCTGAGGCCCAGGCTGGCCTCCTGGAGAGAGCCAAGCCCTCCAGCACTGAAGGGAAGACCCTGTCCCTAAGCAGAAACCTCTGCTCCACTGCTCCCATCGGAGACAGAAGACGGAGCTCCTCAGTACAGAAAAACCCCAAGTGACCACCTTGGCCAATGCTGTGAAGATGGAGAAAGTGAGTCCCAGAAAGGGACAGAAGCAGACTGGGCATTGGTTGCCTGACACCTGCTTGTGGCGTCTAACCAAGCTCTCCATTTGGTTCGCAGCTCCTGACATCTGGCTCAGCTGGTAAGGCCCAGCCTGGAAGGAAAGAACTCCCTCCACACACTGCCCACTCCTCAGTCACTAGCTCCTGGAAAATAGCTTGCTTTGTCTGGAGAGAGTGGAGAAGTACCCAGTGTGGGAGGGGGCTCACCAGTGTGGGTCTGTGGAAGGGCAGAGGAATCCCCAAGAGCATTCACACAGAGAGGAAAGGGCTTTAACATCAGGTAGAGCTGCGTTCTAACCTGCTTGCCTGCAGAGTGACCTTGGGCAAGTCACTTGCCCTCTCTGAGCATCTGTTTCCTCACCTATTGAAAAGGGTGAGAACATGTCATTGCTTTCTCATAAAGCCAGTGATGCAGAGCTGAAATTTGAACCTAGGGCTGCTGGTGTTTTCTCTTATCCCACCTGTCAGGCCCTGGATTGGCTGACATTTGAGCCCAGAAGAGCTAGAGAGAGCAACAGAAACAACGCCAGGAGCAAGGAAGGATGAACCACAAAGAGAGGGTCAAACAGCATATGGGAGAGAGGTTGCTGCCAGCTGGGAGGATCCATCGCAAGGCTTCCTGGAGGAGCTGGCGTTTGGAGGAACTGGATCCCAGCGCAGATTTCACCAGAATGGGATGTGGACTGGGGGGTTGCTTCCAGGTGACGGTAAAGCTGAGCAAAGGCATAGAGGTGGGACAGTGGCTTCTCCGAATCACAAAATGGGACTGGCCTTGGATCCCTCAGCCCTCCCCCACAGACAAGGAAGCTCTGCCTGTCGCCCAGGGACACGTGGTGAGCTGGTGCTAGGTCTCGGCTGACCCTGACTCCTCTCTTATGCCTGCCCCTGCGTGGGACAGCTGGCCCTCCTCCCTCCAGCGAGCAGGGACTGAGTCTCTTTTCAGGCCCAGGCCCTGTACCTGCCCACACCTCTCCAAGTGCTCTCAGACCAGAAAGAGAGCCTGGGAAGCCTGGCTGGGCTCAGGCTGGGGCTCAGGAAGAAGGCCAGGTGTGGCTTCTGGTGACAGTGGGTAGACGCTGGGGTCAGCCTCCTGCTGTATGTGTGGGAGAATATTCCAGAACGGAGCCTGGCAGGGGTCAGAATAATAGTCAGGGGTAAAGCAGGGCCCAGGGGCAGGTGCCGTAAAAGCCAAAGTCTCTAGTTTAGTTTCTTCCCGTACCCATAAGATCACCAACCTTCCCATCCTGTAGCTCACCAAGGCCTGTTGGGAAATTGGTTTGTCAGTGGCCCATCTCCAAACCAACCCATCCAAAGCTGACTTCATTGTCACCTCTCCTGTGAGGCCCTCAGAGGAAGTATCCAGCTCCACCCTCCCCACCATGCCACAGTCCCCAGGCCATGGCTACGACATAGCCCAGTCTGCCTGCTGGGCCCACAAAGCCTTCGCTGCAGGGCTCCAGGGAGCAAGCCCATTCTTGCCTGAGTGTTTGTGAGTAACACAGTCAGGGGGACAGACAGCTGGAGGGAGGCCAGAGGTGATCTGCCGCAGGGTATCCAGCCCCGGGTAGGGGCACCCTTCCAAAGGTCCTTTGTTTCTTTCACTTCCCTCTCCCTACCTAAGAAGTGCTCAGCTGGGTGCTCTGTTCAGAACCACCGCCCGCCCTCTCTACAGGGTGCTTCAGCCACTCCCCAGGCTTGGCTTCTCAAAGCTTCAAAACATTTCCCCTCTGGCCTCCTTCCCACCCTATGGCCATAGGTCACCGCAGTCTCTTCTGTGCTGATCTTTCTGCTATTCTGTCTGCAGATCTATACATCTGTCCTGTATCTGTCTCCTTCTGGTTCTCTCTCTCACTGTTTCTTCTCCGGGTCTTTTCCGCAGCCCTGTCCCTGGGGCTGGTCCCTGCCTGCTTCCGCAGACACCTGCTGGTCTTTGCCTTCTCCCTCTGTCTCCGTCCTTCTGTCTCCGTCTTTGTCTGGCTCTGCATGTCTCTGGACTTGCTCTGTCTCTGACTACACTTGTCTCTCTCTCTCTTTTCCTCTACTGTGTTTGTCTCTCTCTTTGGCTGCTTCAGAGAGGGGAAACAGGGCTTGGTGAGGGGCTCAGGGGGACCGCTTTCCGTTGCCCTGTTGGTCGCTATATTGCATAAAGGTGGTTAGGCTGGTTCCCTGCTTCCAGCTGAGTAAACAGTGTCCCGTCCTGCCCCTCCTGCAATTCACTCATTCATTCGACATACTCTCACTAGGGCCAGCCACGTGCCGGCTCTGTGTAAGGAACCAAGAGCCCCCCACCTCACCCCAGCACACTCGTCTTGGCTCAACAGCTGCACCCTCCACATTGAGCATATGGCCCCATACTCCCTCCCGCTACCCCTTCCTTATTTCGTCCGGACTTACCTATCCTGGGTCCCATGACTGCTAGGGTGCAGTGAGTTCCAGCCCCTATTTCAATCTCAGGACTGGAGCTTATCAAGAAAGAGGGAGTGAGCCCTTATCAGGGACTCCCAGAGACACAGCCTCAAGCCACAGCAGAGATACACTAACGTGGGGGCTCCGGGCACTGGGCCGATGCTCCTTGGACCCCGCTACACAGCAACGACCTCTTCCAGGTATGGGCTAGGAAGCTCTGCCCGCACTTGACCCCCTCTCCAGGTGCCTATCTGCCTTGACCACTTGTTCCCTCTGTCTTCTCTGCCCTGGCCCCCTGTCTGTGCCCTGGCTTACAAACTCACAATCTCTCTCTCTCTCTGTCTCTTTCTCTCTGTCCTGGGCAGTCCCGGGCCAGTTGTGTAGGAGGCTGGATTTGTTTAGATCCAGCCCCGCTGATGGGAGGAGGCTGCTGTCTGGCCGCCCTTCAGCCTGTTCCTTCCCAGCCTCTTGCCTCAGCATTTCCCTTGGATCTTTTCTCCTCCTCCCAGAGCAGTGGAGAGAGGTGGAGCCTAAGGGAATGTCCCCAAGCCCTGTGGTCATTCAGTCCTGATTCTTCTCTCCTCACTGTGCTCCCTCTTCCACCAAGCTCTTGTCCCCTCACTGAATTTTTGTTCCTGTTCATGAGCCCCCTAGAGAGCCCCTGTCTCCCCACCACCCCCTTCGCCGAACCCCTGGTTCCCTCTCACTGAGCCCCCATCTCCTCTCCAAGCTCCCAGGATTTAGAGAAAGGAGGGGTCTGTTCACTGGGAATGCAGAGGCTAGCCCGCCTGGTGGGGACTCCCAGTAGCAGCTCCATAAAGCATGGCCGTCTCCTTTCAGGGGAAGGGAGGAACAGAAAGGCAAATAGGAAATTTTCAGAGTTTCCTGGACTGAGGCTGAGGCTGAGGCTGGAGGACTTGGAGTCAGACAGACCTGAGTCCCATCGCAGCCCAGTCACTTGCTGGTCAAATGGCCCTAGGCAAGTCTCTGCACCTCTCTGAGCATCAGTTCCGCCATCTGTAAAGAAGGGACACTGTTCCCCACTTGCGGGGCTGCTGTGAAAATTTCGTGATCAAGAAAGAAGCCAGGTCTGAAGGCCAGGAGCTCAGAGAAGGGAGCGGCAGAGGGGACTCAGAGTATGGCAGCGAGAGAAAGCGGACCTGCCTATCGATTCCTGCTCACTCAGCACTTTCCCCCAGGCGCCCCTATGGGGCCCTGCTATGGGAGTGTAGGCAGGAATGTATGCCTGCATGTGACAGACAGGGCATTAAGTTTCTGGATCTTCCCAGAGGTCACCGAGCTAGAGGGGAGCCTGATCCAGGTCCAGGAATAAGGTCTTTGCATGAAATGGGAATGTGGGTTTGGAGTCCCACTTTTGGGGTGCAATGGTTGAGCAATATCATCTGCACCACTTGGCTCCTAGTGGCTGTATGAGGATGTTAGGAGGAACTAACAAGTATTTGGAATAATCAGATTGGCCTGGCATGTAGCAGGCACTCAATAGATACTTGTTGCATGAATGAGTCTTTGAGAAACCAGAAATGTGAGCACATGACCACTGCACTGGGAAAGATCAATAGTTGGATTGCTGAAAAGACTAGACCCTGATCCTATCTGAGCAAACCAAACTGAGTCTATCTCTCCAAATCCTTCAAACCAAAGTCAGCACTACGAGAACTCACTGAGAAGGGCAGAGGGTCAGCCTTCCAGATTCCAAATGGAAGGTGCATGGTTGGAAGGGGAAGGCCCCTTTAGACTTTCTGGAAGCCCAGTTTTCCCCTTCTTGGCCCTGGAGGATGAAGAAATTATACACATGGACTGTGCTGGGAGTAGCCTGGCAAAGTCCATCTCCTCAGTGCCCACCACCTCACAGGGCATGGAAGATACAGGAACAGTCTTCATTTAGCACCTCAGCCTCCCCAGGCTGACACAGCCTGGTCCAAGAATATTCTTGAGCTCCCTTGTGGACATGGAGCAAGGGTCAGGTACCCGGGAGCCTCTGGGAGTTAGGCTAACAGGCCCTCAGAGGGTTCTCGGGCTGATCCTGCAGTGAGGTCCTACTGTGAGGCCCAGGCTGTTTGACCAACCTGTTTGCATCCTAGCTTTGCCACTTGCCAGCTTGGTGTTCGCTGAGCCCTGTGCGCTTTCCAGAGCCCCACGATGGATGTGGATCCCAACACCATCTGCGAATTCCCCAGTTTGCAAACTTGATGCCTTTTTTGAGTCCAGTGCTGTTGGCAAAGCCTGGCACAGTTTGCAGCTTGCAGGCCCCATGACATTCTCACAGTCCTGTTTGTAAAAACTCAAGCTGTTTGCAGAACCCAAGCCCTTCCCCTCTTTACGTCAACCCGCGTAGGGAAATGCCTTTTTGCTAACCGGGCAAAAAAGGAGACTTCATTTCCTAGAACTCTCTAAGTTTGGGTACAAGGGAAGAATCCTGGCTCCAGACTGGAGACATCAGTTCTGGTCCCAGCTCTGTCACTCCCCTGCAGTGGGACTTTGAGCAAGTCCTTTCTTCTCTCTAGGCCTTGGTTCTCTCGTCTCTCCGATGGAGTTCGTGAGGTCAAGCTGCCTACCTTCTGGACTGTTATGAGGATCACTATGAGGATGCCCAGAAGATGGGGGGCAGAGGAAAGGAAGAGTGGCTACAGGCTCCTTCCCGAAAAAGGTTCCAAACTGCCATCTCAGCACCTTTGTTCCCACTTCCCCCTGGTCTGACAGCCAGGGAGCGGATGTCTATAAACGGACCTTTGTCCTGGCAGACAAATGAGAGCCTGAGTCGGAGCCTCAGCCTTTCCTACCACCAGATGCTGCCTGGGGGGGGGGGGGTGTCAGACCCCAAGCTGTGCAGACAAGTTCCCGTGCATGGCTCATTAAATCTGCCCACAGAGAACAATGCCATAGTTATTTCACCCACTGAGGACTCTGACACTCGAAGAGGCAGTGTGACTTGCCAGGGCTACATGTCAGGTATACAGTGGAGGTTGGGATCTGAGCCAAGGACAGAGAGGATGGATGCGTGACATTCAGGCAGGAACTTGCAGCTCATTTAATTTAGCCCTTCCCTTTTTTAGCTTGGGAGACTGAGGCCTGCAGAGAGGCAGGCTCTGCTGTGTGCGCCCTGACTGTCCTGGGGTTTCAGTTTCTCTCTCTGGTGGATTAGACGCAGACCGCACCCTGCCCAAAGTTCAGGACTTCCCCTCTTTGTTGGCACGGCTCTTGGATCCGAACACATGAAATTTCCCATCCCTCCGAGGAGAAGCTCAGGTTGGCAGGCAGTTTGGTATCTGGCCTGGCCCCTCAGCCCCACCAACTTGGCTCAGCACAGGCAGCCCTGGACAGCTCATGCCATGCTCTCTCCACAGCTTAACCCCTCCCCCTCCCGCCCCCTGGAGGTTCCTCCTCAGGAAGCCCTTTTGCCCCAACTGCAGCCTTCCCCTGGGTCCACCTGCTTCCACTTCCCACTTGCCTCTCCCCGAGCCTGGAGAGAATACACACCGTGCAGGAAGCTTGCACCCCTCCCTGAAAGTGGCAGCCCTATGCCCCAGAAAGAGCATGAACTTGGGTATCTGATAGTTCTATCCTAACCCAGAAAGAAGATCTCTGAGACTCAGTTTCCTCATCTGTAAAATGGAGATAACAGGAAACCTCCGGGCAGAGCTGCACTAAATCCAAACTCCTCAGAGGCCAAGCTGGGTGACCTGAGGCTGGTCACTCGCCCTTTCTGATCCTCAGTGCCCTTGTCTGTGAAATACCTTCCCATGGCTGTCATAAGGCTCAGACGAGCGAATGGATGGATTAGTCCTTGCTAAGTTCTGAGAGCAGAGCAGACACAAGGCATTATTAATATGGTGATGATGGTAATGGTGATGACGTGGAATTCTGGAAGCAGAGGAAAAGGAGAAGTAAATCACGTGAGTGCCAGATTGATCTGACCTAACTGACAACCCCATGGGAATAAATCACAGTAAAGGCCCCCTGAGGTGGGAGGAAGCTCAAGGGCAAGACTGGGGTTCAGCAGGCAGGCAGGATGCTAGTGGGTCATTGTTAGCAGCGGTTGTTCTGTGGGTGCTACAGGGCTGGGCCCTCACAGGGTCCAGGCTGGGCATTGGCTGGCCCGTGGCCCCCAGCCCTGGCTCTGCCACCAAACCACTAGCATCGGTCAGGTTTTATTTCCTACCTGATCCTCAGTTTCCTTATTATAAAATGATGGGAGTGGTGGGGATAAGAAGAAAGGTCTCATTCTGCTCCATCCCTGCATCAGATAAAGGATGTACCACTGCTTTTGTACAGTGACAAGTGTAGGACATGAGGGATCACAGTTATTAATAATCAGGCTCCTGGGGGAGCGGTCATGGGGAGGGGGTACTGGGAAGGCTGGGAGAGAAGAGCAGAGCAGACCAGGAGCAAGCATTTGTGCCTGGATGCGGGCAGTTTGAAGCAAGAGCCTGTTTCCTGAAGACTTGCAACACTGCCCCCTGGGGGTCAGAGAAGAGGTCTGTGCCCAGGATTTTTCTGCAAGAGGACAATGGGGGAAAGGGGGCTGGAAGGACTACTACTCAGGGAGGCAGAAATGGATAAGCCAGAAGAAGCCAGGTGAGAGCAATCGCTGCCTGCTCCTCCCTCTCCCTCCCCTGCACAGTCTATTCCACTTCTCAAGTCTCTCAAACCAGCCCACTTCTTCCCGTCCTGCCGTCCCCACCCTGGTCTCTGCCACCAGCGGCTCTGGCTGGGCCCTGCCCCAGCCTCCTCCCCATCTCCAGTTTCACCCTCCAGCCCATCTTCCTGGGAACCAGAAGAAACTTTCCAACTGTCAAATCTGACCATGCCCCTCCTCCTTGCTTAAAACCCTGTCCCTGCCCCCACCCCGGCCCTCGGGATAAACCCATCTTTCTCAGTCTGAGACAGAGCACCCCTGCCCCTGTGCCTCTGTCTTCTTCCAGTTCAGTATCCACTTGCAAGTGAGATGAAATAGTGGGTGGTCAAGAACAAGGCTTTGTGGCAGGACCGTGTGGGTGTAACTCCTGGCTTCTCTACTTAAGAGCTACGCTACCTAATTCTTTCTTTGTAGGGTTTTGTTGTGGTAAATATCCATAATGTCAAATTCACCATTTCAACCATTTGAAGCGGACAGGTCAATGGCATTAAGCACACTCACATGGGTGTGCAGCCATTACCACCATCCCTCTCCAGAACTCTTTCTTCTTCCCAAACTGAAGCTCTATCTCCATGTGTTACCATACCAGCCTGTTTTCTCATATGTAGGATGGGGCTAACAAAGGGACATGCTGGGCACAGGGCCTGATAGGTACG